AGATTCGTCCTACTAAACTAACCACATTTTTTTTGCCCAGGAAACTTGAATACTTGGGCATATGATACAAAGTTAAGTCATTGAGCTTAGTAGCATTAATACACTCGTATTAAATAGAGCCTTAGAAAAGACTGAATATAGTTCCTTGATTCTTTTCCGATCAAGACACATAGATCCACAAGAGTTTGGAGGGTCCAAGTTTAGTTTTTCACCTATATTGTGGGGGCAATTAATTAATTCGGCACTAAAGAATACGCCTTAATGCCCCTAGAAGTGATAAACACCCCTTTCTCATGTGTCATGAATAGGGAAGAGAAAAAAAAAATTAATAGTTCGTCCAAGTGAAAATAGAAACAAGTCGTAAACTCAAAATTTTTAAGTTTAAATCTTGATAATTTTGTAAGTGGTCAGATTATGAGAGATTTATCTTTTATGAATACTCTAATCTCGACGTAAATGATTTATTTTTAATCAGATCAGAAAAGAAATTAATCGAAATATGCATAAATTAATCCAATCATTCAGATAATTGACAAAAATAAAAAAAATCGTCAACAAAGCAACACAAAAATCTTAAAAACTGTGTACTTCTTGCACTGGAACTCTTTAACTAACTAAATTTCTTCAAAATTGAGTGTGATTATACCCACGCTCCGAACTTCTTCAAAGTCAAATAATTGTTGTTTTAAATCCAATGTGGGCTCTCGATAACACAACTACCTTAGCTGTGCTTTTCATGTGCAGATCTAATAGATTTAACAGATAGATAACTAAGATTTTTTTTTTTTTTTTTTATTTCTTCTTTCTCTTTCACTCTGGTAAGACAGTGATAGAATAAGAAAAAAGAAATTTGATTTGACACTTGTCCAAACTGGGTAACATCAATGGTACTGTTCAATTGCTGTCACTACAAACAAATAAATGATTCTGTGTATTTTTTTGGGCCCACAAAATTTCAATTAATTGACATCACTTATTTAACTTGTTGATTAGTATAGATATTTTTCATGCATGTAGAGGAGAGAGATATAAAAATTTCAAGCTTTTGTTATAATTTTTATATATATAAAAAAAATTTATTTTATAAAATTTTAACAATTTGTCTATTTCAAGTTTTTGGTTGTGTAAATGGACTAACGGACGAGACTGGGATGGTAAAATTCTAAAAAAGTCCTTAATCATGGTAAAGGACTATTCATGCAAAGAGTAGCTATTGAGCTTCTATATTTTTCCTATCTTTCAATCTGCTCAACTTCCTCTTCTTGCCATTGTCTTTCATGTGTGAATACAAAGCTTCAACATATGATTTGCACTTGTTGAGATTCCCCATAAAAAATCTTCTAAGGGTATCTCCAACAACAAATTATATTTTAGTTATCCAAAAAATAATTTTTTCTATTTTAACTACTCACTTTTTTAATACATACTCCAACAGATTCTCTATATTTTTAACTACTACTTTTAAATATTATTTCTCATTTCTTTTATATTATTTTTTTGAAAATAATGAAATAGAGAAGGAGAGAGGAAGGCGAAGAAGAGGGAGAAAATAATATAAATATGTTTACATGTTGTTACAGTGATATTCTATATTTAGAGTATCACTGTAGGAAAAATCTATTTTAGAGTATCTGAAAAGCATCTGTTAAAGTATGATTTTTTGTTTTGATTAGCTAAATTTTAGCTTGTTTTTTTGCATTTTGTATTGATTCTTTTTTACCTTTTTTTTTTTTATTTATTATAACCTAATAACCTCCATCAACCGAGCCCATATAGACTTGTGATCAGTAATCAACTTAAATTCATGCGCAAAGTCTCCTCTTTACGCACAGGAGTTAAATTTAAGGAAGATGGCTCTAAAGAACATTTTCACAATGTAAAATATCAAACTTTTTATCAATACCAACTTAAGGAATCTATGAAATAGTTGATTATCACTTGAACTAACCCGAAATTTCTTTTTTGCTGCTTTATTAATGTTCATGTATAAAAAAGAGATTCTTAGCTGCCCACTTGAATTTTTTTATTTTTTCAAATTCTAATGCTTTGACAGTTTGTGAACTTTTGATTCCTTCGTAACATTGACATATAGCTTCAAGAGATGATCTTGAAGCTTGACCACTTATTTAAACACTTTTTCTTTAGTGGATCCCATTAACTTTGTTTTATTAATTTTTTTGACGTTTTGCATAGATACTTGCCGGGCGTTTTGCATATTCTTTGACATATTTTTGAAGTATGGATGTGTCCAAGTTTAATTGAACTTAAAATTTAAACACGTACAATCTTACTTATTTAAATCGACGTGAGATCATAAATCGTAAGTATTCAAATGATTGTAATGAGATGTAAAATTATTTTTGAATTCTTTTCTATACCTAGTCAGGAGATCAAGGATTTAAATAATTTTCAACTAGTAAAGAAATGAACTAAAATGTAAAAAAGATAATTGGAATATAAAATAACATAAGAACTGGAATTTATAGATGAAAAGATTTTTGTACTTATTAAACGGAAAAGAAAATTACCGAGTGATAGATTATATGTTAAAATAAATTTACGAGGAAATAAACTATGTAAAAAAGATGTTAGCTCTATGTGAAGTCATTGTTTTGATCAAGGGATCTCTTATCTGGAATTTTGCCTTCAGTAATTAGAGGAGATGACTCATAACTGTCGAAATTATCTTTTTTAACCATAACTGCAATCATGGTTTCTTCATTCGAGATATGCAAACGTGCACTAAAGTGTCTCTAATTGATAGCTCGTGATGTTATGTTTTCCAAGATTTTTTTACATGGAGAACTGTGTGGTCAGCGATTCAGAGCTCCACTGCTTGAAATGCAACTTGTCACAAGGTATGGCCTCGCATTTCGGATACGCTTTGCCGGCGATAGCTTCGCTGTATGCTCCGGGAACACCTTGGTTGGCGACTCGTAGCTGAGCCCCGTGCATCAGTGCTGGAGAGAGGACCGTGATGGTCAACGGTTTAGGTAAGTTCTCAATTGGCACGAGATCCAGGGTTTTGTCACCGTTCACGGCGGTGATATTGTCAGCTCCACCTATTTTTTAAAGTCACACTTTCTTATCCATCCTGGTAGGCTTAAATTCCCATCGACTAGTTCTTGACCATGAAATCACCTCCACATATCACCTTTAAATTTTGCTATTTTGAGTATAAACACATATTCAAAGTTTCTAAGCAAAATAGAATACGAGTGTTTGTCTCCGGTGGCGGATTTAGTATGGGGTCAGCTGCCCCCGTTGAAGTTTTAAAAAAATTTAGGATTTAGGATTTAGGTGTAATTATAAAATTTTCAAGAATTTCTTAAACTTATCCCTACTAAAATTTTCATGAAGTATAAAGTATATTAATATCATTTTCAATAAAGCTAACCGTTGGCTGCTCCTCCTCATTTTTCACGCTTGACAGTTGTCCCCACTGAAATTTTAAAAAATTTTGGAAACTAAGTATAATTTTAAAATTTTCAATAATTTTTTAAATTTATCCCACTGAAATTTTTTGAATTTTCTTAAAGTATAGAGTATATTAATATAATTTTTAAACTCTTAAAAGCTAACTTTTGACAGCTCCTTTTTACGCCTATTTTTTTTTTTTTTTTTCTGTAGGCCTTCGTCTTCTTCGTTCAGACTTTCAGTCCAGTCCAAGTGTCTAGCCAACCCAACAGTCCCTCTTCTTTCTATTATTTAGTTTATTTGTTAGTTCCTTTAGTATATTCATCAACAATTCATTCTATTGGATTCAATCATTGTGCAAATCAAATTTGAAGAAACTCTAGAATATTATATTGAAGTTAAGGAGAGGTAATTAATTAACTAAATTTTTTGATAGTAGTATTAACACTAATTTAAAATCAGATTTTTTATATTAAAAAATTAGTTTAACTCTTGTAGAATTGATGATTGTTTAGTATATTATTTATGGACTTATGTAGGTTTTTTTTATTTCGTCTTAGGTCACCATTCAACTATTTTGAATTTTTTTTAAACTCGTTTTCAAATTGGATATCTAAAATTCTTGGTTAGTGCTATTTTTCTTTTCTAAAATTACATTACTTTAATGAATTTTTTGAAATTCTAGTTTGAATTTATGAATTATATTTTGATTATGTATAATTTATTATCTTATTTGTTATAAACTTAATAATAATTTTTTAAACTTAAATCTAATTAAACAAATTTATTTTCAATCAACTATGAATAGATTAATCTCACCGAGACAAAATCCTGACCCCGCCTTGTTTGTCTCCCTTAAATACAACTTTTAGGCCCACGTTTCCAACAATAGATATGGGTGTTGTGGTCTTTTCCTACCTCATAAGGGTACAAAGGTCTGATGTCTGATTTGTTTGGGGCATGTGAGCTCCTTTAGGTGGTTACAGTTAGATTTCACAGTTGTCTGTCAATTATCTCACTTTTTAAAAAATTTTAAAAACTTAAAAGAAGCAAATTGTTGAAATTAAAATTATATAAAATAGATTAAAAAAAATTGAAGGAAATATTTTGTAATTAATCCAAAAAACAAACAACAACTAAAAGATTCCAAGCTTTAAAAATTTAAAAAAGATTCCAAGTTTTAAAAATTCTGAAAAGATTCCCAATGAAAAGATTCCCAATAAAAACAGAGCAACAATATTAAAATAATGGTTATGATCATTGGATTACTTGTTTAAAAATTATGCAATCCAACACATTAACTCATAAAAATAGTTCGAATTACAAAAAAACCTCTTCAGCGAATGAATTCGATTCAATGTTGGAATTTGAAATACTCGTTAACCTAACATTCATTTTGAAGTTGACTATTGACATTTGAATTTAAGTGGAAAAGACTAAAAAACATTAATGAAAGTTTACCCGATATGCATTATTACAAAGGTGATTACGCGTGCTGAATTATGTAAATCTAAAATTTTAATTTTCCAAAACAAGAAAAATAATTGGGAAGTTTTTTAATATAAATATTTAAATAAATATGAGGAGTACAGCTAAGAAAATAAAAGGTTGTACTCACAATCTTACACACAATTACCCACAAACTGATTACATGATATTTACCTAGAGCAACCTTCTTTTTTTTCTTGATCCATATAAGAATTTAATATTTCCCAAAAATAAACTCAAAATGAAGAGAAGAAAAATTATTTTCAGAATTAAAATGAGAATTTAATTTAAATTTACTTTTGTTTTTTTCTTTAATTTTGAAGACAATGGTGGGAGAGAGGGGGTTGTTAATCTCCCCCAGAGGGACTCCAAGGAGTCATGTCCATAGGGTAGCTTCCCAGCACCCTCAAGAAAGATGTGAACTCCTGAACCTCAGCCAAAGCGTTCTGTGCCCTAACTTCCGCCATTGAAGCTTCGAAATCCACGTAGAACAAGTACTCGAAGTGTTTCGCCGTTCCGACGTTCTCGTCGTCGACCAACCTGATTGGCCGGTTCCGGTGAGGCCGTGATTCGATCTTCGTCAAGCTTATGTTCCTGAAAGCAAACGCCGATAACACCTTGAAGAGGACGCTTGTCCCCTTATCGTGAGCGAAGACTATGCTTGTCTTGAATGGACGGTCGGTGCGTGGGATTATTGGCTCACGCGCCAGCATCACGAACCTTGTGATGTTGCTGGAGTCGTCTTGAATTCCGTCGGCTAAGATCTCCATTCCGTACAACTCGGCGGCGCGTGAGGAAGCAATCGCGGCCGTGTCGCGTAAATTGTTAGCGGCGACAAATTCGGCTGCGCCAGCTGTGTCATCCACTGCTTCGCGAGCAACGTTGAGGCCGAGTTTGGTGAGAGTGTGTTCGCACTGAGCCAATGCCTGTGGATGGCTGATAACTCGGGTTAAGTAGTCTTTTCGGACGCCTGGCAAAGCTAAGAGGCAGTGATGGACAGGAAATTGAACTTCGCCAACGATGTGGAGGCGGTGCCGGAGGAGGAGGTCGTAGTTCCGGTGGATGCTGCCGCCGAGAGAGTTTTCGACGGGGAGAACTGCGCGGTCAGCGATCCAGAGCTCCACTGCTTGAAATGCAACTTCGAACTGGTCACAAGGTATGGCCTCGCATTTCGGATAGGCTTTGCCGGCGGCGGCTTCGCTGTATGCTCCGGGAACACCTTGGTAGGCGACTCGTATCTGAGCCCCGTGCATCGGTGGTGGAGAGAAGTCTGTGATGGTCAGAGGTTTAGGTAAGTTCTCAATTGGCACGAGATCTAGGGTTTTATGGCCGTTCACGGCGGTGATATTGTCAGCTCCGCCTACTTTTTGAGTATCTTGCTGTTGCGACACCACTTTGCTTGCTAATATGGCGCACGAGCTCTGCCAATCGGCTCTGCTCGCGTTGGTTGAGTCGTGCCGGTGAATACACTGAATAACAAGTCGACCGGGTGTAACCCGATGAGTCTGACTCGGACACCGCGTCCTGATTAGGGACTTAAGAGATATACTGGAGGATGGAGAGAGGGAATACATGATTTACAACCCGGGTCTGGAACTTATTGTAAATTTTGTAATAAAATTGGAAGAAAATACAAAAAAATTAGCCGAAGAGAGAGAGAGAATTTTTAGCTTGTGTTCTCTGAGGAGGGAACGTCCAAGCTGAAGAAGATGAGGGGGAGGCAGGGGTTTTTATAGTTGAGGTGAGGAGGGAGAAGAGAAGACTGGAGGGGATAGTATGTGAGGAGGTAGTTCGGTCAATCTCTCACCTAACCCCTCCTCTCTTTCTCTTTCTAGCGTTTCTCTCTCTATATATCTTGTCTTGTATATATAACATATATATTTTATGATTTCTTGTTCCCAAAAAAACAATTAGTACGGGTCTCCTTTTATTATTAAAAATTAATATTTTAGGATATATTTTTATCTTCGATAATAATACATAATATTTTTTTTTATTTTGGACTAATTTATGTACACTTCTATTAATTATTTTTCTGGTTCAGTTAAAAATGGATTATTCATATAAAGAGTAGAATATTCATGAAAAATAAATCTATCATGATCTGACATAATCTTATTATAATTAATACCTTAATCAACTAAATATTTATAATCACATATTATTTTTTTTAATGTGTTTCAAATGTAATTGAGTGATTAAAATATTTAGTGTAGTTAAAATGTTATATATGAAAAGAAAAGAATTATTTTAATTAAAAATAAAAAAATTATTAAATATAAATAATCTAGCCAATTATTGTATTTTTTTTTTTAAATGAGAGCTTTAAAAACACAACAATGAAGAGACTGATTGGAAAAGTCTACAGCACCACCTTCAAAATCGTACCGTTACTTATATAATCTTTATGATAAAATTACAATTTAAAAATAGAGAAGTTATAATTGCTTTGGAGAAATTCATAATTAATAAAGAGGATCATGATCGATCACAGATACATATGATCAATTATGGATTTTTCTTTGACAATTATATTTTTTATCTTATGAGTTATAACTTGATCTTTAAAAATTGTAATTTCGTTTTCAATTTCAATTTATCATTATCGATTATAATTTTTAAAAATTACAACTTATACATTAAAATAATTATAATTTAACTTTAAATGGTTATAAATTTCAGTACGATTCCTCGGTTGGCAGCGTAGCCTTCTCCAGACTGTTTTTTTCAGTAGGAACGTGGTTATACGGAATTGTTTAGTGTTCTCATCATTAGAAGAGTGTTTCAACAACTTTGGTTAATTTCCGTGTACTCGCTGCCACTTTTTGACACCTGTTAGATAATTAGGTTTCGCCGACAGGTACCAAGTCTAAATAAGAAAAATGGTGACTGGTGTCCTTGCTTAGCCAGCCAAACAACCGATATTTATCACATACACTTGGGGAAATTGTTCTTTTTCTCTGTTTTTTTTTAATTTAAAATACAAATTTTGAGTCTTTTTATTATCGTTGATTTAACTGCAGCATTCACGACTTATTTCATGGTTAAATTAGGGGAAGTCAACAAATATTGTCAATATTTTTCGTCTAAACAATATTTCTCTTTACGAGTTTAACTTACTTATTATTTATTTTTCAAATCCATATATAATCAAAAATCACAAGTATGGTTGAATTTTTTTTTTAAATGGCAAAATTATGTACTTCTTGTATTCAATTGATCGATTCAAGTTCAAATTCATTTGCATATGCGAATTGATTGATCATACTTTTTTCGTCAATAAATTGATGGCAACACAAATATTTATCATTGATGAGTTTTAGAGATCTTTAAAATCACCTAGAATTAGGACCGAGGGTAGGTAAATAGGACTTCTGTTATTGTCACCAGAGGAGTTCTACAAATTGGGTAGGTAAATGAACTAATGCAAAGCGCAGGAATATGTCACGGTCGAAAAAAGATGGTTTCGACGAGGTCATTTTTTATAAATAACAAAAAGAAAGTAATCGAAAAGAGATTCTTTATTAATACAACAATTCTACACATAAAGAGTTTATATTTTACGTAACTTATTTTCTCAATAAATTTATTCTAACTTGTAATTCATCACTATGATGATTTTTCCTTTTCGTTTAATATCAAGTACAATAAGTCTTTTTATTTATCAAGTTTAAGGCGTGTTTGAATTGCATTTCAGTATTCAAATTTTTTAAATAAAAATATATTTATATTACATAACTTGTTTGGTTATATGATTATGAAAATAATTCTATAAAATAAAAAATATTAAAACATGTTTGGATCGAGTGTTTCATACAAATTTTTTTTAATATGTTAAACTTGATAAAATGCAAAAAAAAAGAAACAAATTCAGCCCGAAGCCGTCGAAAAAAAATTTCAACCCTCGAAGCCGCCGAGAAAAAAAAAACAGATTTCAAGCATATCTTGAAGCCGCGGAAAAAAAAAACAAAATCTAAAGAAAATCCGAAGCAATCGTCGGAGAAATCAATAGATCCGAACCATTCGCTGGAGATCAACAAATCGGAAGAGTTCTCCAGCATAGATCTAGTTTCCTTGGAGATCTAATTTTACTGGAAAGCTCTCAGTTGTCGAAAAAGACCCTTTCGTCGAAAAAGATGCTTTGTGTGTGTGTGTGTGTGTGTGTCTTCGTTCTGTCTGAGAGCGAAAGTGAAGATAGCCGGGGAGATAGAGAAAACCCAAAAAAAAAAAAAAAAAAAAAAAAAGGCTTTTATATGGTAGGAGGTTTAAGTGTATAGTAATTGTTCCCCTTTACCCGTGTTTTCATTTTTTTTTCTCCAAAACAGCTAAAAACAACTTTTGGTTATTTCCTAAAATCAGTCGTTTGTTTTCCATTTTTTCTCAAAATTGTTTCCAAAAATTGCTATCAAAACAAAATTTTCCTTGTTTTTTGGAATCCAAAAACAAAAACCTATTTTTGAAGCACACACCAAATAGACACTTAGTTTCTCTGCTACTTTACATTTTAATTGTTTTTCTACATTCTAGTTCATTTCTGTTATAAGTTGAAAATTATTGAAGTCCTTGATCTCCAATGCATAGAAAAAAATTTAGAGATAATTTTATATTTTTTTACAATCGCTAAAACAATCACAATTTAAGAATTCCACGTCGATTTGAATAGGTAAGACCGTACGTATTTGGATCTTAAGTCTAGTCGAATTTTGGCATACCTGTAATCTAAAAATACGCTAAACATATTTTTTGACACGCCCGATGTAACCCTAACTAACAGCATGACAAACACCAATACAAGGGCCAAAATTAGCACATTAGAAGTGTTTCTAGCACTCGAAGTTGTTGAATAAGGTAGGTCTGGCGTCAACAACTTATAGTAAGAATTGCCTTTGCTCAGAGGGGGAAAGAAAATTGGGAATCCGACTTAGAGCTAAAGGCATCGATTAAAGTGTTATCACAGGAGAGCTAGAGGACTTGATTAAAGAAGAATCTGGCCACACCAGTCAAGCACTGGAATGACTGTTTGACAATCTGAATCGTCCAAGGGTGCAAAGTAGCTATTGTTTCCCCCTTAAAAGCAATACTAGTAGAGGAATCACAACCAATACTTATGTCGTATGTGTTGTCCCCGTGGGCATAGCAAGCTAGAATGGTCATTAGAGAAAAATAATCCTCTTTTTCAGGAGGATATAACTCCTAATCCCGAATTCAGGGGGCAAAAGAAGGCAACTGCCAATTATTCTACCAGTGACGCCCTAGGTGGTCATGAATAGAGACTAGCTGGACGAAATCATCAAGGAACATGCCAACCCTGCCATGAGGAGTGTTACCAGGCCGACATATCGGAAACATACCCTGACTAGGAAGACAAGGAATATGAGTATCCTCGGGAGTACAAGATCCCAGTGTTCGCAACTTTCTTAAGAGAAAATGATCAGTCGATGAGTGTAAATGTATCATATACTGTGGTACCTATCATGCCAAACTAAAGTGAAATACATTATTCATCACAAATCAAAATAAAAGAGCGGCGACTTGTCAATAGACATTGGAACAATGCTAAGTTATGTGGCATTGTAAATGCCAAGTCAACGTCATAGAGTTCCTTTTAACGCTTTGAAGCAAGCCACCCATAGGACCCAGTCCGAGGTAAGGGCTTTTCCATGTATGACTAAGATTGCCAGTGATCCAATTCGACTATCGAAGAGGTTCTCTAAACTTGAAGATATATGAGGCTCAGGGAAGATACAACGAACTTCATCAAGAGGAAGTTCTGTACAAGTAGGTCCAAGGCCCATTTTTGTTGGAGAATATTCAAAAATTGGGGGAAATGTAGGAGGGTTAACATGATTAATAGGGAGTTATGAAAGAGTCGTCTCTAGAAAAAACAGTATGTGGGGGTAGCCATTGAAAAAGAAGAAGAGAATGTCAAAATAATGACAAAATGCAAGTTTGAGAACGGAATATATCGACACAAAGAACGAATCGTTGCAATGATGATAGGATATGAATGGATCGCGTGTCAGCCATTTTTTACAAATTTGAAAAGACGAGAAGAAGACCAAAAACCTACACATGGAGGTTGGGCCACACACTCTGAGCTTTACAACCAATAGCATGGTGACAGCTAAGCAAGGTGAGTAGAGGTGATCTGACAGTCAACAAAGAGTTAGTGAGAGTCCAAACCTAAAAGTACCATTAAAGAAGTGTGACTCTAAGAACCTAAGGAAATGTGACATTAAGAATCGCCAACTACAGACGGTTTGGTACACGTCTGCTCGTATTGAGAAAAGAGGTCATGATTACAATCATGATCGAAAAAGATGGCTTCGACAATTAGGGCCATCTCTCATTAATAACAAAGGCAAGACAACCGAAAAATGATTATCGATCAACATAATAACACTACACAGAGTCAACCTCTCAACAAATTTACTTTAACCTATAATTCATCACTACAGTGATTTTTCCTTTCCGTTTAATGTTAAATGCAATAGTCTTTTCATCTACCAAATTTAGTTTCTCTATTACTTTGCATTCAGTTATCTTTCTACATTCTAGTCCATTCAGTACAAGTTGGAAATTGTTTAAGTTCTTGATCCCAAAGGCATAGAAAAGAATTCAGACGTAATCTTATGCTTCGCTACAATTACTTGAAAAATCATGATTTAAGAATCTCACGCCAGTTCAAATAGGTAAAGTCATTCGTGTTTGGAACTT